AATTTTAATATTCAGTTTTGCTGTTTTGTTTTTATTATTATTTTTTTTACTTTTATTATTAATATTTTTTTTTTTTTTTGAATTGTCATTCTTAAATAAAATAAAAGTAAAATTATAATTAAAACCAAAAACTAAACGATAATAACTTAAGTCAACTTAAAAGTAAACGAACGAAAATTAAGAATAATTAAAATAATTAATTTTATACAGATTAAAAAAAGATCATATTGTTTTATATTATGTATGTATTTTTGTATTTATGTATGTGTGTTTGTACATATGTGTATGTATGGTGTTTTTATGAAATTTTTCGTTTTAGGAAGCGCGGATCAGATTATCGTTATATAACATTATTGTCAAATAATGAAGTTTAAGTAAAAATCAGATAATCGTTCATCTATCCTGAAGTTGGTAAAATAACTTTTGACTTTTCTCACAAAATTTTCTAATATAATTTATATAAATATTAATCTTTGCATTTATTTCTAATTGTATCATAATGTACATTGAATTTTTATATATGTATGTATAACATATCCAGAAATGTATAAAAGTAAAAATCCGTGTTAATAACAAATTTAACCCAGAAATCAGAGTATACTTTTTTAAAGGATTGAGCTGAATCCGAATCGGACCTCGGGTACTTATTTTGCCACAATCGGGACGTTATAACAACTCGACCAGAAAATAAAATGGATGTATCACATTTATGGTAGCATTAAGAAGGCACATAGGTGCTGGCCGCTATGTAGGAGAACCATGTGCCCGAAATGGGGCCTTAGTCCTACTGCGACACATTGGCTTTATAAAAGCGTGATTAGACTACTTTGGACAAAAAGTGCAATATTAAACTACTACAGGCAGTTCAACAAACATGCTGCTTGGGTATAAATATTTCCATGAGCACTACATCAACCAATGTTCTGCAAGTGCTGTTAAATATTCCACCCATTGAAATATATTTAAGAAATAAGGCGGCACTTACTGCCGAACGCCTCTTAATTTTAGGCAAACTGACCAAAGACGGTTATAGAACACGTCATCAATATATGCTGGACATATTGGAAGGTTATACACAAACCTTGGAAGTGCCCGATAGCATACCAGTCACAGAATATGTCGAGAAATTTGAAACACTGATAGAATGTCATGGTCAAACTGGGGGACAAACAGGCCTGGGATTCTATATTGAAGACGAAGTAATAGAAATATATAAACATAACACTAGCTTACAAGCAATATCGGAATGCGTAAATTGTATTAGAATAAACATGGCGCAGGGGTCAATATATTTAACGACAGCCAGAAGGCAAATAAGACGATATCAGGTGATAAAGTTAAATATAAGACCGTGTTGAATTGTAAGAAAGCTTTAATCGAATACTATCAAAGAGGAGGGCTTTGCATCATATGGGTACCAGGCCACTCGGGTGTAGTCGGAAACGAAAGAGCGAATTTACTTGCTTAAAGGGAAGAGAACTCGAGTTAATTTGAATGAGGGATGAATTAAATATATGGGCGAGAGAATCCCATAAGGCCTCTTGGAATAATGAAACGGAGGGTAGAACCACACAGATCCAATGGGATGACCTTGACGAGAGCAGGACGAGAAGACTGCTCGAAATGAGCAAGTCTGAGATTAGTATGATGGTACATATTTTGAGTGGACTGTCAGGATTACGGGCACAACTATACAAAAGTTGCGAAGTCAAAAGAATGTAGAGCATAGGATAGTGAAACTCTGGAGCACTTTCTGTGTCATTGTCCGGCTTTCGTCGAAATTAGATCCAAATATCTTGGGAGTGATATTATTCGGGATATAAAATTCCTCACGAACACTGATTGGAAAATTTTTAAGAGTTTCTGAATATAGGACGATAAATATATTCTTTAATCACTACATAAGGTTTTTGTTCATACCAACAAACATTTTCCATAAAACGGAGCGCACAACTGACCCGATAGTGTCCTAGGTGTATTTCTACGAATTTGATGTAGTATATATCCTAATATCAAACTAACCTAATCTAATATTTGAAATAAATGCGATTTTTGTTTATTTTAGGCAAATTTATAGGTCCCAGTTTTTCAATTTACTGAAATATCGTTCGTTTAAACTTTTTTCCTAAATTATGACAAAAATCTATATTTTGAATTCGTAGTTGTTTTAATCTATGTATATTGAAACCAATAGATAGGTCTTTCAGACGACATAACAAATTGTATAAACAAAGGACTGTACGCTATTATAAACGTAAGGCAAAGATATATCGAAAATCTGATGTGATAAAGAAATTTATATTGTAAGTGCTTTGTTATGAAATTCTGTAACTCGTATCCATTCCCATCTTTAAAATATATAATAAATATTGTATTATTCTATATAGACTAAAATTTATATTAGAATATTTTGGTCCAAAACGTACTGTAAAACGTAACGTTTTAATATTTAGCCAACATTTTCACCGATTCAGTTTCATGTTAAGTGAATTTCTACTCAGATCCACATTCCTTGAATTTCGGAAAATTATAATAAAATGTCTTTATTACATATGTATTGTATGTATGTGTTTATGTATGTATGTAAGTAGTTGTAAATAATTCAAAGTTTTATTACACTTACTTCCACTTTAGTAGAATTTTTTAAAAATATGTCAAATACCGATCAATATGTGAAAAAAGAGGTTGATTAATCGATTTTAAAATAATTTAAATATTAATATTCAAGCTTAAGTTGTCTGGGGGGTTTGTCCAGGTTTTTAACAATTTTCTAGCATTGTAAATTTTTTAATTTTATTAAAATTATTTTTAATAGCGTCTCTTTCCGTACTGTTTCGACATTTACAAAATCGATGTTTGATTGTTTTTCCTTCAAAATAGTAGTTCGACTATCGACAAGATATTAGGTACTATATGTATGTCTTACGTTTACCCGGTTGTTGGCTCTGACATTAATGCCAGATAAAAATTGTAAGTTTACACAATTGTAAGACATTTTCTGTGCATTTTTCTGACATATAGCATAGAAATAGTTTTTACAAGGGCATGAACAATTACTTTTAATTTAGTTAATTAATGGGGGTTCCATGTCGAATGACCCAACTTTTGAAACCGATGTCTTCCGATCAGGATGTCAAATGTTTGATCCAAGAGAGTTCTTGACCTATCTTGTTTAAAATTGAATCTAATCTAAAAATTCAAATTTCATTCCGGAAGACATCGGTTTCCAAAGTTGGGTCACTTGATATGAAATCTTTTATTAGTTAAATGAATTAAAAAGTATTTATTCATGTAATGTAAAAACTAGGTCTGTTCCATAAAGATCTAGGACTAGTCATAAACTATCCCAAATATGTATATGAAACAAAAACTGCATCATTTAACATTGAGATGTCCTAGGTGAACACCAAGTATTCCCTTACAAAAACTATTAGAGTACATGATCCACTTTAGTATTCACAACATAGTCCTATACAGAGGGGAAAAAATATAAACGCCTGGTACCAAATTGACATCAAAATTTTCATATGTTGACCAAGCAACGTAGATTGCGAGAACGAATTGTTGCAATGTTGACATCGGTGCGTGGTCAACATTACATGTTGTTGTTGTATGTATGTATATACTCGACAATAGATGTTATTGAAAAATTTTGCGTCAATTTGGTACCAGGCGTTTATATTTATTCCCTCTGTTTCTTTTTCATAAATTTAAAATAATCCATGGTTGCTTTACATAGGACCACTAGTAGGATTAAGTACTCCAATAATGTTTGCAAGTGACATGCTTTCGTTTTCAGAGTTAGTATATTAGGAAGTATGAAAGAACCTCGAAGCAAAACTAAATTAATATGTATTTTACGATACGATGTTATAAATCGTTTAATTTTTAATTTGTTTATATGAATGTTTTGAAACTTTTTTGAAAATAAATATATATGTATATTAATAAATATAATGAAAGATGATTGTAATGAATAGATGGGAATGAGGATATGGTTATGTACGATTAGTTTGTAAATCTATTTATAATAAATGAGATTTTAAAAGTTTCTTGCATTGAACTATTCTAAAAGTATTATATTTAGTCAACCAACATAAAAAATATGTATAAATACAATATATTTTGTATGTAAACATTTAAAATGGAATAATTTAATAGTTGAATATTAATTGATTTGAGTAAAATTTACATAAAATTATTTGAAAAGTAAAATGATATTGAATTTTTTATTCATAAAAGTGAAGTTTTCTATTGTTGATTTTTTAAGTAGATAGAAATTTGTATGACTATTTACTAAGTACATATGTTTGTATGTATGTATGTTGTATGTAGGTAGTTTAACAAATCAAATACTAACAATCACTAATACCGACCGATTGATCTTCAATTATTAAACTATGATTTTGTTTATCTATTTTGTTTGTAACAACAAAAAAAAAAGAAACTATTTAATTATGTGGTAGTAAATAGTAGTAGTATTAGTAAGTAGTAGTAGTATAGTAAGTAGTAGTAGACCAAGTATAAATAGTAGTATAATGTAGTATATATTGAGAAAAGAATAAAACAAAACAACTTAATTAATTTACAAACAAAAACGAACTTAAAATAAAAGAAAACAAAATAACACCCACTTAAAACAAAAATAAAATATTAAAAAAAAAATAAAATATTAATAAGAAACTAAACAAAGAATTTTTTGTTTTTTTGTAAATAAAAAATTATAATCCTAACTTTAGCTTAAACATTAAAATTTTCTTAATATAATTTTATCAAGTACAACTAATCTTTTTAGCAGATCATTTCGAAGAATTAAACAACTCATTTAAATATTTAAGAAATTACAAAATGATAGAACCAAATATAAATAAAAAACAATACAACTTAAAAAAGAAATTAAATAAAAAAATTAAATAAATAAATTAAAAAACACAAAAGTAATACAAAAAAACAACAATCAACGACAACAGCAACAAAAGTAGGCAACTAATAGTACTTACCGGTTATGGAACAGAGTAAACGCAGGGTGGGAGTATTGCCCGAGTATTGATTTATCATGCCCTGACTGTGAGCCTTAGGGGCGGGCATACTCAATGTTATGGCCTTGTGGAATTTACGACGACGTGGTTCAACAGTAACGATAGGTGATACTGCAACACCACGTCCTAAAAGTTTAGCAGTTAGATCTGGATCGACCGGTTGTGCCTAAACGGAAACGGAAACAAAACAATATGATTTGTAGCTTAAATACAGTAAACAAAATGATTTTTCTTTCATTATTTTTCAGAATGGCCACTTAAATTATAATAACAACTATTATTCATTATATACATTTTGTTTTTTTCTTTTTTTTTTTCGTCTTAATAAATTATAAAGAAAACAAATTAGGAACAACAACAAAAATATAAAAGAAAATTGTTAAACTAGATTTTTCTACAAAAAAAGTTTTGCACCAAAAAAGCTTTCCTCTGATAAACATTTTCTCGTATTTCATTATTACTTTTTACAAACAATTATATTTTTTTCACTAAAAGCTAACTTACAAATAATTGGTTTTAGTTAAATATAATTTATTTAATTAGTTTATTTATTAAAATATGCTTGAAAAGAACTTAAATGGGTTACAGAATACAACCCTTTAGAAAAAAATAAAAATATTCTCCGACCGTTGTAGTTTTCATTCTCAAGGGAAGGATTTGTTTGCAAAGGGATTAAATGGTGAACATTTATCTTTTATTTGTTTAATTTATTAAATTTTTGTTTAAAATGTTTAATAATTTATTTATTTTTTGTTTTCATTTAACATTAACGCTGATAATTTTTATAATTATTAGAACATATTTTATAAACGTTCTTCTTATAAAATGTTCCAGCCCATTTATTTCCCAATAAATTTAGTTATTAAAAAAACTTTAACTACTTGAAAAATAAAATCAATTATTTAACTATAATAACTTAAGTATAACAGCAAACAAAAAGTCTTTGCAACAATAACAATAATAATTATGGCAAAATAAATTTAAAAAAAAACACACACACACGATGAAAATGAAAATAACATAAAATCAACTCAAATCAATTAGAAATTAATAAGAACTAAACAAAATTAATTATGAATTCTCATGTACAAGTATGAATGTTATTATGTTTATTTTTATGTATTTTATGAATAAATGGACATGAATCTATGAACAAATGAATAAATGATTGATTTATTTAAAAAAAAGGGCCGTTGAAAAATCATTTTTTTTGTTTTTTGTATTAAGCTTTCAAAATGAGAGAAAGAGAGACAGAAAGAGGCACTTAAGTTTCCACAAGACCCAATTGCTTAAACGTCATTTTAAAACGTCTACTCAGAAAATAACAAACGAAAAAGTAATCAATCCATTTCTAATTTATGTCAAATAAATATTGTTGTTATTAATTATTCAATTAAATATTTAATTGCGTTGCACATTTACCGACAGACAACCATAAAAATAACAACAACAATTAACAAAAAATTAGAAATATTAGAATTAAAACATTTTAGAACACATAAAGTTTTTGTTTTAACTAAATTTATTGGGTAATATTATGTTTTTTTATATTGTTTATACTCTATATATATGTTATTTGTTTTTATTTTATAATAAATCAATTATTAGTGACGAATAAATAAGAATTTAATTATATCTCTTTTTTATAATATTTCAATCATGTAGTAATAATATTATTAATCAATTAATATGTTGGTTTATATGTATTTGTTATAAGTAATAATAAATAAGTTATAAAGTTAATTCAAAATTTATCAAATTATATATTTAGATAGTGAGTAGTATACTAATGTACTGAGAAAGAGCTCTAAAGTCGAGAGAAACTTTACTCCTTTTGTAAACAGTAGAATCTCGAATTTTACAAAAAAACTAAAAACTTTATTCAAATGTAAATGTTTTTTAATTGCAAAGCATAAAATAAATATTTTAATATGTCGACTTCTGAATGATGGAATTTTTACATTTTAGAACAAACCAGATCGCTTATAACTTTATATAGTATTTGAAAATTTTAAATCGGCCCTATCCATTTCACATGGATACTCCATAAAGTAGGTATAAAAAGAATTAAAAAAGTTTCCTCGGGAAATGCTTTAAAGATTAAGAATGGTTTTAGAAAATCGAGTTGTCAAGCAAGGTTTTTGAACTGAAATGATCCGAGTAAAATGTTTTCATCATTAAAACTCAACTGGCCTAGTTTTGGTTATAACTCTATATAACAGAACCGTTCAATTTGAGATCTTAAAAAGCAATTTTGGAACTAATGTTGTCACAATTATTTCTGATGTTTGATATGCGAAACAATGTTGTGGTTCTGAAGTACTACTAAAGTTTTGTGTTGGAACCAGTTCTTTAGTTTTAAGCATTTTATTGACCAAAAGAGGCTTTATATGGGTGTTGGGATCAAATATGGGCAGATCCTTAGAAAATTTGGAGGAGAACTTCAGTTTAATTAGTTTAGCTGAATTTCATCGCGATTGTAATGGTTATAAATCAATTAAGGACAATTAAGGCATTTTCTAAAGTGGAGTTTGTATGGGGACTATGGTCAATTGAGGGCCGATCATTACAAAAATCGTCACTGTTATTTATTTCTGAAGAGATACTAGTTACTTTGTAGTAGTTATGAGCTAAAAAGTCCAAATAGGAAAATCAAGTTGTAGGGGTTAGGTGCAATAATGGACCCATTTCAACCATTTTTGTTCTAGGTCCGAAAAACATGTATGGTCCAAATTTCATCAAAATGTCTAGGAAATTACGGCCAGTACTTTGCGCTCAAGGGTTTTAAGACTGACAGAGGACATGTCTTAATCGACTCAGGAAGTGTTGGTGGTGTAGAACCAATATTTTTATGCGTTACAAACATCAACACCAGGCATGGGGGGTAATTACTTGTATTGTGTAATTGAGCAATAACCAATTACAAATAATTGGAATTTTTCCAATTACAAATACTTCTAATGTGTAATTGACCAATTACAATGATTTGTAATTGAAGTTTCCAATTAAAATTACTTGTAATTGCACACTACAAATAATTATAATTGGAAAAACTTCAATTACAATTACAAGTAATTGTAATTGGTAAAGCTTCAATTACTTCAAATGTAATTGTAATTGAAAATGTAGTTATTACCCACAACCCTGATCAACACAAACTGATAATACCCTTCCTAAAATGGTGGTGTAGGGTATAATCATCGATTAAAAAACTGGTTCTAAAAACGTTTCTTTGAATAAATTTCGATTAAAAAACGCTTCCACAAAACTACAATCGAAAATGACAAAAGTGATCATTGATTCAGTAGCTAATTGTCGAACTAATATAATTTCTTTCTGAATATTTAAATTATAGGGGTAAATATTAAAATGAAATAAATAATAAATAAACGCATAATAAAGAAACCACTGATCTGCCACCTTTCGCTTAAAGGTCTTTTAAATTGTTATGGATATGTCTTTTTAAATAATTAAGCATTTTGAAATCAAGATTCTACTGTTTTTTCTTCTACTTTTAAAAATATTTGATCTTTTTAATGAAAAAGTTCTACCATTATATTGTAATAATAAACTCTTATTTAGTATTAGTATAATCAAATAATTTAAACATCTTGCAAAATGTTTTACTCGTTTATAAGAATATTGTTTTGTTTGCATCAATGATCCCAGATCATCTACATATTTTGTTATTTATCATTTAAATTTATATTTAATTTTTAATAAATTCAAAATTTTTTTTATTGTATTTTATATCTTTGATATTAAAGAATGTTTATATGTAAGTAATTTAAGCAAATTTCTGTGCATATTTTGTGCTTAATTTGTATTTTTTATTTTAAAAGAAAAAAATATGGCAACTTTGTAAAACTTTTGTTTCTGTTAATAATAGAAAAAATAATGATTTTCTGTTCGGATTTGAAAAAGCAAACTATAACTTTAAAACAAACTTCTAAAGGAGAAATATTCAATTTTAAGTTTATACATAAATTAGACCGTCATTATCTTATGATTTATATTTATTAAAATCTTAAAAAAATGGTTTCTTACAAAAATTTCTACTATTTTCTGACATCGTCAATTCTTTTGAGAATTAATTCACTTTCATTTGTAATTACTTTCGAAATTTTTGAATGTACTATTTTTCAAGATTAATTCAAAAGATATTACTTTTGTAAAATTATAAAAGGTTTTGATTAAATAATATTTCGTATTATGCACGAAATTTTTGTAAATATTACAAAAAAAGTTGTTTTTTTTTTTTTAATATTCATTATTATTTCTTAATTCTGATACAAATTGAATGAAAGAAGACCTTATGAATTGAATTTGGAAAAATATAAAATGTATTTAATTTATTTCAAATTGAATGTTTGAAAAAATTAATATTTCAGAAGGAGTTCTACGTTCCATAGGAATAATTGAAAATTTTTATAATTCAATTAATTATTTAGAAATATTTAAACATTCCATAGAATTGAACAGAGAATAAATTTACCTAAATGGACCTGAATCTAAATTTTTCAATACTATAACGTGTTATTATTTCAAAACTTTTTAAAATAGATGGTTTCATTATTATTTATGTCTATTTATTTATGAAACTTTATAAGGTTTTCTAAATTTAGCAACGAATCGGTCTAATGTATGTATATGTAACGGAATCGAGGTTGATATTTAACTGGCTTAATCCTTATAAATTGTATTTACAATAAATTTTGCATTTGAAAGCAATTTTATTTAATTTTAAATATCTTATGAAATATTGAGCAACTAGTTTTTTTATTCAGGTACTTTGCCTAAATTTTAAAATCTAAAAAAAGTTTATATATAATTGAAATATTTTATATTTAAATCATACAATCAATAATAATGATCGCAGTTCTATAAGCAAATATTAAAAGGTAAATTTAGTTTCCAAACCTATTAATTCAAATTTAGAAAAAATTTAGAATTTTGAAACTACAGTAAAAATATGTTTAAATCGCTTCTTAATTAAGAAATGGATTTTACTGCCTTCATAAACATTTATCAAAGGTTTATAGTACAAATTTTGTATGAAAATTTGATTTATAAACCTTTGATAAAAGTTTATGAATAAGTCCCTTAATCTCTAAAATTTTGTAAAAATATTTGTTGTAATTTAAATTGTTTAAGCCAGTTAAAAATTGCTAACACGTCTCCAAAATCTGCATTTCTTTTTAGATTATTAATAACAATATTTATGAATAATTAAATAAAATTTTTTAAATAGCAAAATATATAAAGGAAACATAATTTGTTAGTTTTTATTGAAAATCCAAATTGTTATGTAATTATTTTTGCAAATGTTCAAATACTTATTAATGGAAGATTAAGGAAGAGGAAGATTAAGCAATAGAGTGCATTAAAAGTTGTAAGTAGTATCATATGAAAATTATACGTGATATAGCATCGTATCTGTATTTATTGGTAAAATAATAAAGTCAAGTTCAAAGAAACCATATAGATTGGTATTTTTGATAAAATCTTATGTAATGTTTCACCTCAACTAAAGAGGCTTTATAGTGTGTGTTTAGATGATATATATTAATTGCCTTAAAATCGTTTACCAAATTAGCGAGAAGCGCTTCTTCTTTGGTACATGATTAACACTTATTTTACGTAGTTTTTCTGGCGCAACACCTTTGCGTGGTTTAAATAGATTTACCTGTAAGCCAACTTTTATCTTCTTGGTTAGAGCACCTTGTGGAAATACGGCCTGAACTTGTGGCACTACTGTACTGGATACCATGCCACCCTCGGGGCCAATTGCATGTACCTCCTGACGTATACGAGTTACCACAGCGAAATATTGTGGAAAATCATATGTAACAAAACGACAGACATGATTTCCAGCTTGCTCTTCCAATTGAGCGATTTCTGCAAGTTAAAATAAAAATACAAATTATGTATAAAAGTGTTTCAATAGTTTTTCCTTTAAACATTTGTTTCTATTTACCTTCAGGCTCAAAACATTGTTGCAGAACATCATGTATTATCTCTTCGGAATTATCAATAGTATGCTCCCGCCAAGTTTCACCATTATCGGAACGCAGTATTATAATTTCGCGTTCTTTACCACGTAATGAAGCAAAATGGGGTACTTCCATGATGACAGGACCGATAAACTTAGTGGAGACTGGACCAAGTTCTAAAACACGGCTAGCCAATGCTTCACCCTCCATTAATTGAGGAGGATGCATGGTGCGCTGAGGTTTGACATAGCGGCAAGTGACACGAGTGGGCTGGCAAGTAGAACGTGATGGTATAATCATGCGAACTCCACTGTGGCGGCAACCGCGCATAGCTCCTCCGCGAGCATCTACCAGGAAAGAAACCAAGAAACTACAAACAAAGAAACATTTATTATTAAATATTTGCCCTTCAGTAAAATTATCCTTCCTTAACTTACCTCTTCCACTGCAGTTTGCGGCTGTTAATGTTTTAAAAAGGATAGATAAAATTTAAAAAAAGGTATATAAAAACAAGTCCTCTATGATTTCAACAACAAAACTTACCCAACATGTTGGTGATCATCTTCGCTAAGACCATTGGCCATATAAATACCATCGACCATGGATTTACCAGATGCGGCATTATAGGTCTGAACCTTATGTGGACTAATAGCTTCTTCGACAATCGGTTGTTGTTGCTGTAAGCCGGCACCATATTCAGCACTTTGTGCCATACGATTAGAATCGACACGTTCATCGCGTGTCACATCGATCGGCAGAGAATCATCTCCTAAGGATTTCATTTCATCAACTGTCAGATATCGATAAGGTTGATCGGAAAGCATATTATCTTCGCCTGATGATTTTCAATAGTTGTACGAGTAGCATTTTATTTCAGCGTTTGTGTCATTGGTGATATTTGTTTTTTTTTTTTTGGTTTTAGCAAATAATTCATATTCATTCCAATACAATTGAAGAGAGCGAGCAGGCAAGATGATGGTTAGTGCAGTGATTTTGAAAATACATACAAGAATGATAAATGAATTAAATTTGTATCTCACTCTCTGTTTATCTACATATAGATATATTTTTCATATGTAATTTTCTATAAGTTCATAATAATAACGGTTTTTAATTAAATTTTTGTAATTTATTTACACATGCATTTTTAATAATTTTTAATAGTTTTGAATGAATATAGTGAAGAAATTAATGTAATTAATAATCATGCTGTGTTTGAAACATTATTTGGTAATGGGTAGTTTTTATGCTCTGCAATACTATAGCTTAAAAAGGATTCTTTCATCGGTTGGGTTTCATTCAGTACTTCGAACAAATTTGATTAGATTCGTTAGTGAAACATACCATGAGTTAGTCCAGATTACGAAAGATGACTGTACGAAGATATCTACTAAATTTTCGTCTAAAAAATTTTGGCAATAAGTGTTACGTGAGTACCCCATATGAACTGACATGCGTCCGATCATGTGTCTTATAAGTAGTTTTAACGAATTTCTGTCAAAATCCTTTTCCGTGAAGGACAAACCCAGAACATTTTGGATATACTACAAGTGGTAATAGTAGACAACTTTTCCTTTATAATTTGTAAATTTTATTTTATTGCGTGGCCAGAGGAATATAGGTATTTTCTAGAAACAGTTTTATACAAGAACTTACTGTTTGCAATTTTATTCCCCCAAATGACCTCAAGTCCTGAAATTCATATAAATGTGTACATTAGATTGTCCCGAGGAACTGCACTTTTAAGAATCTCATAGAGGAATACATCTTAATCGATGAGTATTAATGTACTGAATACTAGAAAAATAAAAAGTATTTTTTTAAGAGGCCTCAGTTCTCTACCAGCGATTGCAAATTTTGATCTCACTCAAGGCAATCAGCAAGATCATCGGAGAATGAGCGACCCAGTTCCACCGCTATCGACCTATAGATGGGTTGACCCCTTGACCGTTAAGATTAATTATCGTTGGTAGATATTTTTTTTATAAAGAGCTCTACATCATCAGCATATGGGACTAACTTGGTACCCATGTTTCTGAACTTAAAAAGGTTTTGACACTGAGATTAACCAGTCCTTCGTGTATTTTCAAAAAAAACTATGACAAACTCATTCCACTATAGTATTATGGTTTATTATTCCAGCTTTCTAAAAGAATGCACCCCTTCCAGGCTTCCCCTCATTTGAATTTCATATAATTTGTTTTTGTTTTTTCATGGACTAATGACTAATAATTTTCGTTGCAGCAAAGCAATTAAAAATGCCGATTTAGTTATTAGATTTAGTATGTATACGGGGCAAGAATTTAAAAGAAACAATAACTAAGTAATTTGATTTTGATAAAACACAAAATTGAGCCAATTATTTTTAAATAACAAAGAGAAATTACATTATTTACAATTTTATTATAAACAAAAAGAAAATGTATAAAATTATATATTAAAGCATCATATTTACATGGATTAAAAAGGTCTCTGGACTCATAAGTTTAAAAATGATTTGACATTTCGAATTATTGGTAACTGATGTTGAAATTATAACTCCGAACAAAATACATATACCCATTCTTAAAATATCACTTTCTACTCCAAAATTCATAGCCTCTGATGTGTTTTTTTTTTTTTTTCAGATATCAAGTTTTTTGCTAGTGTAATATTTATTGACAATATAATGATTTTTAACTCGTAACAAGAAGTGATATTAAAGCAAATAAATACATATGAATATCATTAAAATATATGTATGTATATCTGTATACATATTAGGGTGATCGATTATTCGACATTTTCCAAAAACCGGTTTTCGAATAGTTCGAATAGTTGACATTTCAAAAAAACCGGTTGATATTTTTCAAATTCAGAAAAAACCGGTTAACCGGTTTTTCATAATAAATAAAAAAATATATGTTAATTTGAAGAAACTAATGTTTATGTTTAAATTTGATTAATAAAACATGGCCCAAAATGATTTTTAACAGTTTAACAGATTATAACTTTAGATCTAGTCGTCTGATTTACATTATTTCTTTAATATAAAAAAAATAGGAAAAAAGTGGACACTTCTGTTAAACATAAGGTACTATGTAATTAAACATAAGGTACTATGTAATTAAACATAAGGTACTATGTAATTAAACATAAGGTACTATGTAATATATTCTAAAGCCCTTTTAGGAAATTTTCATAGGCATTCCAACACTTCCATAATATTTCAGCGGTAAATTAATTATTGTAGTTGGAATATAATCTTAAGATTAATAAAATTTTTTTAAATAGTTATCAATTTTACAAATAAAATTTTTTAATTAATTAGGAAAATCAAAAAAGTTTAACCAATGGTGCTTTAGAAAAATATATCCTAGTTCCTGGACTCGAATATTTTTAACATTTAAACGGGCTGTATTATTTACTTCAAAATTTCATTTAAATAATCTTTGAATACAAAGTATTCGAAACCGGGTTTTAAAAAGTGAAAAAACCGGGTTATTCGATATTCGAAAAATCAACATTTAGAAAAAACCGACACTGGTAAAGCAGAAAAAACCGGTTTTAAAACCGGCTGAAAAATCGAGTCGATCACCCTAATACATATGTATGTATTTCTTAAGAATTGAATAGTTTTATTATTATTAACTAACTAACCTATATCCAGGTTAGTTAGTTAGTTTGAAAGCAGTTCCTCGTTTCTGTAATTTTCTCGAATCGAGAAAAAACTTAAAATATAATAGTCTTCCAGTTTTTAACTGTGTGACTCTGATTATTTTTAAACTGTACTCATTAAAATTTAATAAGAAAATTTTAAATTTCTTGTATTCACCCTGTTTTACACAAGATGGTCATGAATTTTTCGACAGATTTTCTCGATGAAAGAATTACAGAAACGGGGTACAGGATGTATTTTACATCAAATCATAAGAAATACATCTAGGCCTCCATCGGGCCTGTCGAGCGCTCCTTTACCCGTATCTCTGGTGAGAATCGAACCCACGACTCGCGGTCTAACATGCTAGAATGATAACCGGAGGCATACATATATATATATATATATAGGTATCGTTCCTCAGAAAAATATTTATTTTGAAACGCGAGACTTTTTCATCCATCAGTAACTGAACACATACATGTATCTACATATATATTAGGGTACTTTTTAATTGTTTTTCAAGAAATACGGGACTGTAGAAAATAAGGCCTTATTAAATATTATGACCCGAAAACAGATTTAATTCAAATTTACGCACTCCTTGAAATTCTGTTTAAAAAAACACCCAACTGTATATAAATGTATGTGATTATGTATGTATTTGTGTATGTATAATTAAAAAATACTATGTACAATAGACAACATTTATTTATATGTATGTACATTAGGGTAATGGCCATTTTTTACAAAAAATCAACACCTTAAAGCCAATATTAAATTAATAATAAAAATCTTATTCGAGGTCATTTTGGTAAAAAAAATTCCGCACCTAATGTCTGTTCGGCTGTTTATTAAAATCAGTTTTTAAGGCATACTATTCGATTAGATATGCCTTTAAGAATTTTGCTATTTAAAACCAATAAAATCGGTCCATAAGTATCGGAGATATAATAAAAACTAGAGAAGAAATTACAACTCATTTGGTGCTGAAACTTTGTTGACAACAACGAAAAACTAAGATTGTGTTTGTTAATATTTTGTATGGCCTATTTGACTAGGGGATATATAATTGTATATTTGCAAAAAAAAAATCAAAAAGTCATACCCTAATGTACATACATAAGTAAATATATTTTGATTAGAAAGGAAAACATTTACATGTACATCTACATTTACATACATTTATACATGTATTTATATATAAATTATGTACATAATATGTTAAATATGTTTAAATGCCAAAAATACTCATACAGAATCGGTCAATTGTAATATCAGTAAAATCATAAAATTTAAAGTGCCTCATTTTTAGTTCAAGAAATTAATGAAATACTGGGAGTCAACGTATTCAGACAATATTTTGACCAAATGTCTATGTACTTGATTAATTTCAATATATACAATTTTGATCTTTAAAGGTCCCCATAAAAGAGAGAGTCCCAAGAAATCAAAAAATTAGCTCCTCTCCACTAGATGGTATATAGGAATTTCGGTTCAAAACTGTTTACCAGCTCAACACCAAGAATATTATCGAATGTTGCATGGACCAGAATGTACAAACATATGTACATATATACATACATTAAGAGATCGGTCCCCGAGCAATATTTTCGATATTTCGGATCGGAGAATTTTAGAATGACGTGCTAAAGTCATCTCCACTTACATAAATAGAAGAAAAAAAAAAACATTTCTTTCATTGATTAAAATGTCTAACGAAATCAAAGATCCTAACCTTATATCATGATCCTAACTATATAAAATTTGTTGTAATTGATTCATTGATCCGATTAAAGCTGTATGTATATACGTATATTCCATTCAAACAATTTAACATTGTTATGTACAAATGTATATGTATGTATGTGTTTTATATAAGAAAAGGAAACGATTAAGGACCCCATTAACTTACAGGATAAAAATAATGATTCGCCGCGATAATAAGGCAGATAAACATGGCTATCATTGTTCTGTCGGTCACTTTTTAAGCCCAAACATGGATCCCAATCATTTGTGTCACCTAAATGACACAATGGAAATTCAATTGAGAGCAACAAACAAAATCATATACACACACATATACAAACATAATAGAACCAAAGTAAATAAATATAATTGATCCTTTAAAAAATAATGGCTCACAAGTGTTTTCAAATTCAAACACCTGAGTGTTGAATAGTATTTATGTAAAATTCTTAAATTATAATGATTTTATATAAAACAGTGTAGCATGAATATAGGCAGAGTATGAAATTATATTTACGTTGTTTTTGTATAAATTACTGTACGAAAAAAACTATAGATTCTGAGCCAAATTAAGAAAATAAAAGAAATCTAAATAAATATGTATGTATGTAACTTAAACATAATGATTTGTTGTTGTTGTGCAAAATTCATTCTTCTAATATCTAAAGAACAAAGTTAACTCGATGTGTGTGAGATAAATTTTTAAGCAAATAGTACGTACCTCCTTCTTCTTCCGAATCCGACATAAAAGATTCGTGCATGGCCTCTGGGGCAACGACACGATATTTTTCATCCGAATGCAGTTGAGTGGAACCTTCTGGTTCGTCAGTTATCGATTTGAGTGAATCCAATACACTGATATAGCCCAATTTACGAGCAATATCCAACGGTGTCTGGCCACTTGTAGTCTGAGCATTGGCATTTGCATTGTGTTCAAGCAAGAGTTTTACAATGTGACAATGACCCTGCTGGGCACTTTGATGTAGCGGTGTATAGCCAATCGATGTAGCAGCATCAACATTGGCGCCATGCTGCAACAAGAAACGCACCATATTTGCTTGACCAAAATGAGCGGCCACATGAAGAGGTGTATAGCCAGCCTTCGTGGCCATATCAATATTGGCTCCATTGCGTTGCAATATTTCAGCAACATTAACATTATCCTCCTGGGCACACAGATGCATTGGTGTCAAGCCATTCTTGGCCGGATGATTTACACCTGCCTTGTGTTCTATTAATAAGTTTGAAATTTCACTATGACCCTCTTGGCAGCTTAAGTGCAGAGGAGTAAAACCAGCCTTGCTCTCAGCATTTGCTTGTGCTCCATACTCTAAGAGAGTTGTAGCAATGTCCATTTGATTTTTGCGAGCCGCAATGTGAAGTGGTGTGTGACCATTCTTTGCTGTAGCATGTGGACTGGCGCCCTTCTCCAGCAGTAGAAGAGCAACATTCTGGTTGTCATAATGGCAAGCTACATGCAAGGGAGTGACACCGTTTTTGCCTTGAGCATCGACGTCAGCTTCCTTTTGCAGCAGTAGTTGAGCCACTTTGATGTGTCCATATTTAGCAGTTAAATGTAGGGGAGTAAAACCTTTTTTGGTAGCAGCATCTAAGGCGGCACCATTTTCGATTAGAACAGCAGCCACCTAAAATTTTTTCAATTAAAATTGTTTACTTACATCATCCTCAATCATAAAATTAATGAATATTTCATTCTTACAATGAAATTAAAAAAAAAGAAAACAATTAAATGAAAATAAATTCATTAATGAAACTATTAGTGAAATAAAAACATGGACAGTAAATTTAAATTGAATTAAAAAACCGGGAATTCTAACAACTTTTAGTGCTGTTGCCACTACTTCAGAAAACCATTTTGTGGAACCTTGTTGGGATTCTATAGAATTTTTTGTTCTTTGGTTTTACACTAGTTGAAATTGGACTAATTGCGGGCTAGTATGTACGATTATAGCCTGTGTATTGATTTTAGCCCGCAATAAATTTCGATATGTATAGAGACATACACATCTAAATATTTAACTGTTTCTCTCTGTGTTCCCAATGTTCACAATTGTTAACAAAAATCACTGAAAAGAGAACTGATCCTAAGAATCTGGTCTTGTTTCTTCTTTAGCGTATTCGGGCCGCGAAAAAAAGAACTATATTTTGTTTGTTTCAATGAACATAATTTGAAATAGCATACTTTGAGGGTGTAATTTAAAAATTAATTAATAATATCACTAATTATGCCAAATAGATAAATATATACAAGGGAATACTTTTTGCAGTCCCACCGATTACGTTTATCTCGAACCTCTTTTTAGGTGCTTATCACCTTCAATATTAAATCAAAATAATCCAAATAATAAATAATATACAAAAAAGCGTTTAACAAATATAATTTTTAAAGAAACCTAATAGTAAATAATAACATAAATAAAATTAATAAACTGAAAAAATCCATGGGAATAAAATATTGATTTTATTTTACAAATAAATAATCAATTTCATTACATTTTATGTAAAAAATAAATTAACAGAAACAAAAAATATATGTAATAAATTATAAAGAAGGTATTCAGATAACACTACAAATTAAAAAAAAAAATAATATTAAATTACAATAAAATTAAAAGAATATATTTTAGATCGTTCGTACTACAGTATAGTATACATACAGTTTGCAAATTAAAACAACAAATTAATAAATAAAGTGTAATAAAAACAACATAAAAATAATTAAACATAATCGATAAAAAACTTAAAATGTTCAAATGAAATATTCTTGATGACGTATCCAAAATAATTGCATTAAATATACAGTATCAATGTGATCCAGTATCTTTTTGGCAATTAATTGTTTTACCTCATCTTGACCCTCCTTGGCAGCGATGTGTAAAGCTGTGTACATGTCCTTAGTGGTGGCATCAACTTGAGCACCGTGCTGCAAGAGCAACATAACAATGTCCACGTTACCCAAACGTGAAGCAATATGCAATGGAGTTTGTTGCTCTCGAGCACGAGCATCTACCTGGGCACCATTGCGCAACAAAATGCGAATTATATCAGTCTAGAAGAACAAAAGTAAAGATATTTGACCTTAGTCAAACTTCACAACTATTTCCAATATGAATGCAAACATACCTGATTGGCTCTTGCGGCTAAATGCAATGGTGTTTCACCACGTACAGTGGGTACATCGGGACTAGCATCATGTTGCAGCAAATAGATAACAATATTCATGCAACCCATAAAAGCAGCCACATGTAGTGGTGTCAAACCACTCTCAGTGGTTGCACTAATACTGGCGCCATGGCGCAACAATAATTCAACAACCTTAATACGATTCTTTTTACAAGCAATATGCAGAGGGGTAAATCCATTTAAGGCTCTGGCATTGGCATCCGCATTGCGATCCAATAGGAGCTTAGCGACACGCACATGACCACAATGTGCAGCCACATGGAGTGCGGTCAAATAATCGACGGTGACTTCATCAACTGGAGCACGGTGATAGAGTAAAATGCGGGCAGCATCTACATGTTCACCCTGGGCCGCCATATGTAGAGGAGCTAAGCCATTCTTAGTCTTAGCACTAATTGGTGCACCTCGTTCCAATAACATGTCTACAACCTGTTCGTGACCCGAACGTGCTGCGCAGTGTAAAGGTGTAAGTCCATCACGGGTTTTAGCTTCGATGTTTGCTCCTTTTTCCAATAGCAAGGAAACCATATTGGTTTTGCCCCATTTAGCAGCCACGTGAAGAGGACTGATATTGTGCTTAGCCGAGAAGTTTACATCGGCACCCTTTTGTATTAATAAATTAGCTATAGCTTGGTTGCCATAGTGCGAGGCGATGTGCAAAGGTGTAAAGCCAGATTTTGAAGTGACATCTGGATTGTGATCGTTCTGTAAATGAAAACATTGAGAGAATATTTTATTAAAATATACCATTAAGGTAAAATTATTTAAACTTACGTCCAAAAGCAGTGTAGCTGCCTTAACGTCATCCTTTTTAGCAGCAATATGCAGGGCCGGCAACCTCACCTTACCGCGTGTATCGCTTTCGAGTAAAACTGCCACAACCTTATCGTGACCCTGTTGCATAGCAACTGCCAGTGGTGTAAAGCCATCCTCTGTGGCCAAACTTTGATTGGCTCCATTGGACAATAACAACTTGACCACAGAATCGTGATTTTCCTGAGCTGCCATATACAATGGTGTGAAACCATTCTGAGATTGTACATTTACGGAAGCTCCATGTTGTAAAAGCATTTTAACAACTTCCTCCTGACCAGCCAATGAGGCAATATGCAACGCTGTGTTACCTTTCTTAGTAGCACTATCAACAATTGCACCTCGTCGCAGCAGCTCCGACACAACATGAATGTGTCCATCTTTGGAAGCTAAATGCAGGGCATTTAATCCATTCTGAAAAGGAAACAGAAATAATATAAATAGGCAAAACAAAAGGATTTAGTATATGTGTTTATTTTAGCAACTTACAGCATTGCTGGTATTTATGTCAATGTTATTTTTCAAGTGTTCCAATACTTTATCTAGATTTCCAGCTCTGGCTGCTCGCAGAAACGATGTATTACCATCGCCCTATAATGATAAGAAATTAAAACATATTATGAATATCAGCTTAAAAATTGGGTCTATATATAGGAATGAGAAGTAGATTATATTTCTTTAATTAAACTTTAATTTGAGTTGTATTTTTATTCCCAGCCTAAAGGAAAGGATCCAGGGAATGAAACAAATTTGAAAAATAGAACAAAATGTCTGTCCTTCGGCAAAGGACAAGAACAAAGCATGGACTGAAAAGTAAATTTAATAAACAATATAAAACGATGTGTGAAATCAGAAAATCTCTTCGGGTATGAACAAAATTTAAAACTATCACAATTTTGTGTTTGTAATCTGATTTTAAAGATTGTTCTAAATTTTACTACTTAGTTAGTATCGTCCCTAGACTTAACTCCCCTGGTGACCCAATCAAAATAGATAGATGACTGGGCTTTGAAAATATCACCACTTGCAGAATATCGAGACTGCTCTGGCACACTGAGACAAAGGATGGAACTAGGACTCTCTTATCATTTAGTAAGAACTCGATTAGGCTTCCACGGGTATAATTACTGGGCACTGTCGGAACGTATGGGCTACCCACGCTATAGCTACTGAAGACGTTGTTTGGATGAGGAAGAAGAGGAATTGGTACAACATGTTCTATGTGACTGGTCAGCCTTACAAGAGCACAAACTACTTTATCTTGGTAGAGCTCTTTTGCATGATCTGGACTATCTCAGAGATGCGTCACTAGCATACTTGATTGGTTTTATTGGAAATACCGACTGGTTCTCATGGGGACCGCAGGGAGCACATAGTCAACGAAATTAGAGAGGGAATCCATTCTCCTTTATGTATAAACTCTCAACATAAGGGAATGGTAATTATAAGGGGCCACAAGGCCTCCGAGTGAACTCGCTAGCTAGCGAGCAACCCACGTAATCTTTTTAACATAAGGGGATCATTTAAAAGGTTCTTTGAACCTGCGTCATATTTTTATTCCAAAGTAATAATACGTATGTTTTGTCATTAAAAAACATCTAGCAAAAATGTATCTTTTTTCAAAAGAAATATTATTTTTTTCAATTGTTCAAAATTAATAGGCTGTGTGGAACTATTACTAATACAGTAGTTATGAACAATTCCATTTAAAAATAAAAATGTATAAAGCTTATATGCATAAAAGCAACAATTTAGCAAGTAAATGCGGAACCAAAAAATGTCATCCTTAGAAAGTTTACAAAACAATAAAGTTTATTTTTCTTTCACTCTTTAAAGAAAATTAAACACCTTTAGGCATTAAAAACTCTTTCAAAGAAAAACACATGATTTCGTTCTATTTTTAAACACATATGGATATACATTTGTAGTACACATACATATTTATTTAAATATACATACATACATATGTATGTAAATTAAATATGTGTCTGTAATGAAAGAAAGACAGGTGTTATTCAACTCTTAAACGCTTTCAAAACCAAAAGAAAAGCAAATCACCACCCAATTAATTACCACCAACCGTCCAACTTAAGTACAAAAAAGTATCAAACAATTAAAATGTTACAATTATGAATATTAAAATGAATGTTTACTAAAATACCATATGCTTCCGCTTCCGGTAGCAGCTGGTGCGCAGGCGTTTGTTTACATTTTTGATTTGTTTATTTTTCGAAACTTGAAATGAAAATGATGGCGTCATTATTTCGAAAGAGAGCAAGAAAACAAAATATACAGAGAGTTTTATTCTCATTTAACTGAAGCATATTTCGTTTTTCGAAAATCTTGAAAACGAATTGGCAAACAATAAGAAATACATATGAGTAACCAGACATAAGACAGACAGACTTTTTTGAATTGCTTTTCTTAGAAAAAATAACAAATTAGAAAAACACACACACATCAAGAAAAAAAAACGATGCAAATAGTAGCAGAAATTTATTGTATGTATAAACAAGTACATAAGTATGTATGTAGTTTAAGAATATATGCTATATACTCATTTATATATAAATTAATGAACATAGCATAAATACATAAACTTCCTAATGGTATATGTACATTAGAGTGTCAATCTTTACTTTTTATACCCTACACCACTTTAGTGGGGAGGGTACCTATATTGGATTTGTGTTCATGTTGTTAAGTCGATTTAGTTATGTCCGACCGTCCATCTGTCTGTCCATATAAACCTTGTAATCAAACTACAGAAATTTGGTACACTCATTACTTTTGACCCAAGGACGAACCAAGGACCGGACCCCCTAAATTATTATTTGAAGCTCATAATTATGACAAATGTACTAATATCCCTACAAAAATAGTCACAACTACGTTTTATACAAGCATATTGCAAAATTTCGTAATGAGCGGCCCTTAATGTCAACAAAATCCGGGATCGGTTCATAATTGAGCCTAGCCCCCATATATAGCCTTCATCAGAGAAACATTTTTTCTTCAAAAATATATCGAAATTAAGGAAAAATTCAAAATAAATGCTTTATTATTAAAAATAATACACATTTTTGATATACTCATAACTGGTGGTCGGCCACACCCGACTATACTTTTTTACTTGTTTTATTATTCTTTAATTAATAAAAATACTTTATTTCTAAAGATACCTAAATTTGTATAACCGTTTAAAAAGATATTGGTCGCGAAGCCACAAAATATCTATATGTGTCCCTATTAGATTCTAAAACACCTAACCAATATCCTTCCGTTTGTCTTAATATAAACAAGATAGGACATAAACAAGCACTGTTTGGCATTGACAATTTGACAAAATCGGTGCATGATTTCTCCTAGACCACATAGAAGTGAATACAGTTAAAATAGTCATAAATATATTGATTATCAGCAACCGTTATAAAATTAACGGTAATTAAGAGAATTCTAGACAAAAATTTAGATACTACTGGGTTTATTTTAATAAAATTTTAAATTTAAATAAAAACAAGTAGGAGTTCTGCACAAATTCGCCAAATGTGCCGTGTCTTAAATACCCTTCACCATAGTGTGTTTTAAACAAATTTAATACTTTAAAAATTAAAAAAAATTCTTCAATTTAATTTTTTAGTTTCTTAAAATGAATGTAAATTTTTATGATTTTTTTCTCATCCTTGCACAATTTTCCATCTCTGACTTTGGCAATAACAAAAGAATAAACAAGCAAATTAAGTACAAGAACAAAATATAGCATAAAAAGCTGTATGTTGTTGTTGTTTGCATGCATGAAAATTCGAATCGTTTACGAAATTTTCAGAAGTTATATCGGATTTTTGCTCATATTCCAGTTATTTATGTACCGATTTAGCTAATTAGAAACAGTAAACTTCTCGAATGCTTGTCTGATACAGATTTGGATCCTAAATATATCGGGGGTCTTTAGAAAATTTATTTAAACAATTATGGACAGATGGACAGATAATTTTCAATTTTAATTTAAGAACATTAAGGGAATTCATGAAACACGTGCGCAAACTTGCACATTTGCACAAATAGCTATCTGTATTATTTAGAAGATAAATTTAGTTTAAAATGATCAGTTGAAACAGTCGATCAAATGCATCAGTGTTGTGTAAGTGAAATTCCATACGTTTTGTGACAAATTCAATGTAAAATAAAAAATGCACAGTTTGCGAGGCTTTTGAACGTTTGCACAAATGGCTATTTGTATTATTTAGAAGAGAAAATTTAGTTTAAAATTATCAGTTCAAATATCCGATCAAATGTATCAGTGTATATGAATATATAGTCGGGCATGACCGACCATATGATACCCTACACCAGTCAGTATATTTAAAATGTGGATTATTTTTTAAATAATAAAGCATTTAATTTGTTTTTTACCTTAATTCCGGAATACTTATTGTTGACAAAAAAAAAGAGATTTTTTCTACAAGAGCGCTCATAGGGGAATAGGGGTAAATATGAGCCTATTCTTATAAATTTTGGTAGAGGAATTTACGTCTGCTTCAAAGTTATTTATGTAGAATTTAATCGTATTATTAGTGTTTATAAGTGAATTTTGACTTTGTATGGCGGCTAGGGTTAAAATCGAAAATCGGTAGTATCGTTTAACGTTCTATAAAACTAAGTTTTGCCGATTTTTGGTTGACGTAATAGAACATTATGAACCCAAAAGCCCTATTCGGGGGGTGGCTGTAGGTGGTGTAGGGTATAATAAAAAAATGCTAATTTTCATAAAAATATCCTTATAATTCCAGTTCTACAATTGGAAAGCTTGGATTTCATTTCAATTATTCGTTTCCAACTTGATTACACCTTAATTCAATAGCATTCTTCTGGAACAAGGAAACTCAAGTCAAAGTTTTACGCTTGAAAACTATTACAATTTTCAATAAGATTGTATAAGATTTGAAAACAATAAAATGTTGTTGATTCTTATTTTAAAATTAATAAAATTTAAACAATATTTAATGAAGAAAATTTATGTCTTAATCCTAGTAAATAAATCTCCGAAAAGTTTATTAAGAGATTTGAAATATCAAGAGTGATATATTTTTCTTCTATTTTCTATTTCTATTTTCATTTCACTTCAATTAAGGAGATGACATCATGCATACATAAATGTCAAAGGTTAATAAAGAGCTATAGAATGTCAATGAGAATTTTTTCAACTTCTTTATATACATTTTAATTACATACATATAAACAAATATGTATGTATATATCCTTTTATTTACATGATTTACAAACAAACATACATATAGATGACTTAGAAAATTATTATTGTGTTGTACTCAAGTTTCAATTGGATTCAGTTTGAATAGAAAAAATGGAAATATATAGAAATGTATATTATATTTGAATTATATTCATTTCAAGGACAATCTTTTGTAATTATTCTTTTCTTCACTCCTTTGTTTAAGGGCTTCGAAGGACTCGCACCGAAACAAATAGAAAAAAACATGCATGAAATACGCATTATTTTTGTATAATATTTTTGTAGTTGTTTTAGTTTTTGTTCTGTGGATAAGGTGAAATCACGTAATCCAATCTTCTTGCCACAACAACTTTCCAAATGACAACAATAACTCTTATATACGAAATGAGTCATACTTGTACACATTATGTAATGTCCTCATTACTTTCATTTAAAAATAGATAAATTGTGAAAGGAACGAAAAAAAAAACACACGCACGCCATAAAATAAAACAATTCTTAAAAATAAAATAAAAAATAATAAGAGAAACAAATGACACTTGAATATGCAACATTTCGTGTCTAAACGTATGACACATCCTTTAGTAACCTAATTTTTTTTTTACTTAAACTTAATTCTTTGCCAACCAACCTCAAAGAGTGGAAAAAAACTTGGAGTTTTGATACGCAACATGCAAATGTAAATTTCAAATAATTCACACAAAAACCACACCCTAATGAAACAATAAAAATTCTATATGATCTACTTAACATAATGTAGTAAAATTTAAATATTTATAAAAAAAAACTTTTCAAAAAAATTAAAGTTGAATTTCAAATGTAAATATAAAATGCATTTGGCTGTTTGGAGTTTGTATTGATTTTTCGTAGTCGTTAAAAAATGGGTGGGTCCTTTTCAACTGCCCAACCCATTTTCAATTTTTAAATTTTCTTTAAAATTTTTAATAAATCTACAAAAATACTTAAATCTTATTCAATTATTATAATTGAAATCTTTTTAAACGTATTTACTATTATTTATTAATATTTTATAGAAATTAACAGCAATTAAATATTTGAATTTGTAGCAGACATGAAAAATCGATAAATGAAAATGGACGCCATCATGGCTGCCAGACAATAGAAAAAACATAAAATTGTGCATTTTTCAAGGATTTTTAACGAAAATATTAAGTTTTTGTGAATAAATTTATTAAACTATTACCTGTGTGCCATTTTCCGTAACCATTTTTATAAAATTTATTTAATTTCTTATGAAAATATTAGTTTTAGAATTTTTTTCTACTGTCTATAGTATAGAGAAATTGTGTAAGCGTATGTCGTCACTGCTTAGTCATATTTTTTCTTTTTGCAAAATTTTCTTTTTTTATTTTTGGTTTATTAATTTTCTTATTAAAAAATGTGTTAAAAACTTTAAAAAACTTATTTTAAATTAAAAAAATAATTCACTTTGAAGAAGGTGCAATAAGATTTTGAAACATTTAATATTATTTAAAGCACTTTTTGAATTTTTTCCTTCTATATACTATATTCTGGTATATATATATTTTATTTTCACATATATGTATGTATGAATGATTTAAGGGGTGTGTGTGTATGTGTACTATGTTAAGGGAAGATATTTATTTTTTTTATTTAAACTTGTTTTCACTTTTATTTTTACTTATTTTTTGCTTCCGTTTAGTTCAAAATTTAACTCCAGACTGAACAAGATTCCAACTTGAAAATGTCCTGTAAGCCAAAAATGCTTCACTTTTCTTATAAGTACGATATACCAAGGACCTGCGCACAGGAAATTCGAATTAGAATATGACTTAGAGTGCACAAACTCCAATTTAGTTAATGGTAAGGGTAGATTCACTCACCCACCACACATAAGGGTTATTCGAATTCACAAATAAATGAGCGTATGATAGCAACAGAGAGAATTGGACAACTAAAGATTGAGAGAGTTCAAGACAAAGTGTGACATTCGATATTTGTCAATAACACGTGCTTTTGTTTGTTATTATTTTGTTTTGATTTTTTTTTTTTTTGTTTTAGAGTTGCCGGTTGCCGGGTTAAGAATATTTAAAAGGACCTTTACTTGTATGCGATACGATATGGTAGTAGTTGTATAGACCCCCACACACACATACTAATATAAATGCAAGTATTTTTACAACCCCGAATAAGGTTGATTTTGATACCAAACAACAATATTTTTTGTTTGGTGGTGCACTAGGTTTTTCGTACGTTCATGCCACGATGTATGTCAATTGTTTAAAGTGGCCCTTCGTATAAGTTTTTACATCCTTTAATATTGTTTTTTTTTTCTTCTTTCTTTTTTGTGTTTTTATTAATGCTGTCTTAAGGTTGCCTTGGAAGCCTCATAAAGAATTTTCATGACTAAATAAAGGAACAATAAAGATTTACTTGAGTATTTTATATGTTTAATATCAAGTTTTTGTAATTTTTTTATAAATAAGAATTTTGCAACAAAAATTACAAAATCTAAAACTTTGTTAAGTGTTAAGAAATATTTCGTCATTCACAACCTATTGCTATGGGTGAGTTTAAACGACATTTCACACATTTACATGATTAATTTAGAATAACGATATATTGAGCAATTTCAGAGAATTGTTAAGTATTTGCACAAAAATCTGTATAATTAAGTTTTATATACTGATAAATAATACAGGTAAATTTCGTAATAATCGGGCATCATTTGACACTTGTCCTCATACACTATTCCTTAATGAAAATTTTAGATAGTATACATATATTTTAGTCAAATCGGAAACCCGTGCCGGAAATCGATTAGAAATTGTAAAATTGGGTTAAAATACGACTATTTTAATATTAAAAAAAGCTGCCATTTAAGCTTTTACAGCTTTTGTATAACTATTCTAATCCCTTAAAAATAGTTGGTATAATCCGATTAGGAGTAATTATAATTATTAGCTATACCCAGTGTGCTTCGCTACCCTCATATTATTGTAAATTGTAGGCTACTTCTATTCTTGTAGGCTACTTCTATTCCCAATATTACAGAAAATTAAAAAAATAGCAGTTGAAGAACGAAAAAGTACATGAAAGTCCCTGTTTGTAGATTTTCATTAAACAAGGATGATACATGTTTAATTTCAACCAGGTTTTAGGTTCAATATTATAGAAATCCATAAAGTATTAGTAAAAAAACGAAAAAGTACCAGAAAGTCTATTTGTATAAATTTCCCTATAATCAGTAAACTGTAGGTTTAATTTTATGTTTATACACAGAGGGAAAAAGAAATATACACGCCTGGTACCAATTTGACACCAAACTGTATATAATTTTTCAATAACATCCGTTGTCAAAGTATAGACACACGCACGACAACACTATGTAACGTTAACAACATTGCAACAATTCGTTGTCCAAATCTAAATTTTATACACATCAGTTGTCTAAATGTTAACAAAAGTGATAAGCTCACTATTGACAAACAATCCGTTGCCAATGGTGAGCTTAAATTTAGATTTCGACAACGAATTGTTGCAATGTTGACAACGTTGTCAACATTGCAACAATTCGTTGTCAATACGTATGTATGTAGTGTTGTCGTACGTATGTATATACTTTGACAACGGATGTTATTGAAAAATTATAATTATATTTCTTTTTCCATCTGTGTATATATTTAATATATTATAAAACTCAAAAAGTTCGAAGAAGTACCAAAAGACCTCTTTTATTTCATTTTATTTCTTGTTCCTAAGTTCGATTTTTTAGAAAATTCAAAAAGTACCAGTTAAAGAACGAAAAGTACCATAAGGTTCCCTTTTATAGCTTCTCAGTTACTCCAAACTCTTTATGCTCAATTTTATGATTCTAGGTTCAATGTTATAGAAAACTCAAAAAGTACCAGTTAAAAAAACGAAAAAGTACCAAAAAATACCCCTTTATGGATTCTCATTAACTCCGACCTCTAAATGCTTAATTTCATATTTTTAGGATCAATATTATAAAAACCTCAAAAAGTATCAGCTAATACATTAAAAAGCACTAAACAATAGTACTTTGTACCGAAATTCAAAAAGTACCAGTACCAATTCATAAATTTTATTACAATCGGCTGAATGACTTTGAATAAAACTTCCACGTTTTCCTATTTTTTCCCTATTTAAGTAATAAACATTTTATTCCAAAAAGTTGCAATATCGTAGTGGAAACCCATCATTAAGTTTTAATTTCTTATGATAAAAATACCCAAAAAATAGACACAAACACCACCCGAATATCCAAAAAGTACTAATAGCCAATTTTACTTGATACAGTTGTTGTTGTTTTTGTAAAAATTTTTTACTTTAAATTTCTAACAATAAATTTGATTTTTGAAACACTTTTACACAAAATCTATTCCATTTTGCCATTCAAATTTAAAGGAGCGCAGACCAGTGTTATCAATCTTGTTTAAAATTTTAGCATGACAGTTTTATTCTAACCAACACTTCTTTAACTATGAACACTGAATAAAACACCCTAACGTTTCTTCATTTAAAGCCCTGATATTGCAAAATATAAAGGAAATAATAAACAATAAGAGTGGGAGGCAATTAAATACGAAAACCATTAAATTTTACACATGTCGTTATTTTGAGAAAAACGCACTAATAAATAATTTATTATTTAATACAACTATATGAATAACATAAAATGCACCCTTTTCTTTAACTGCAAAGCGAATTCTGTTCAACGAGGGAACGGTTTTTATACTGTATTTTTACTGCATTGCATTCTAAACACATGAGCATGTTGCATTTTATGTATATTTTTAATGTACGATGAAATATATAAAATGTTAAGGGTTGATTTTAAAAACATATCACTAACTAAGTTAGTAATGACAAAATATGTATGTATGTGCTTGTCTAAAACAAACATATTCCTAATATCAGTTGTGGACAAACTGATAGAAAATGTAAAATATCACCGCACAGTGGGGCAGAATGGAAATTTTTTGGAAATAAATCTGGCATTTCTAAACGGCTGATCCGATCGGGATAAAATTTGGCGTGAGCGTAGCCAAGGAGTATTCGAGTTTAAGTTTTGAAGATGAACCCTGCAGATGCCCCAGGGACGGCGCTGTGGCGGCTCAAAGTAGGGTACCTACGACATGTAAAATTTTTAAACTCGTGCCATTTTTTTGTTTTTCACCCAAATACAAAGATTTTTATATTTTGTGAAAGCGCTCGACGAGATCTTGAAAAAACATACTTGGACATACTACTTATCTCTTATAATATCCGAGTTATAGGCATTTAAAAATTTAGTGATACAAAATTTACCATACCTTGGTCCGCCTTTTTTTGAATACCGGGCGTAATTTTGGACCAAATGGACTCAATTTTTTCTTGTTAGTTAGACAACAAAATTTCCAATAATATACAAAAAATTTCAGATCAATATCGTTTACAGATCCAAAAATATACGTTTTTTAATTTAAAAATTCAAAAAATTTTAGATTTTTGGCGTTTTTTTGCCAAAAATGTGTCTTAACTCTTTTATTAATAAAATAAAATTTTTATTAAGAACATATAACAATTTTATAGTTTTCTAAAAGGTATCTTTACGCAGAACGCTTTGGCGTAAAAAACTTGTCCTATTTTTTGAAAATGTTGCCACTGCGTCCTTCCGAATATGACCTATTTTTTATCAAAACTTCAACTTTGGGCGACATGTTCTAAAATCCCAAAGCTGGGATCAGAAAACTGAAAGCAGTTTCAATATGTTTTCTATTTACTCCAAACGTATTTTCCCAGCCCTGAAAGAAATGTGGACCCTATGGGCAAAAAAGTAAAAAATCCCATTTTTGGGATTTTCATTCCTATTTTTGGGAATTGCGGGATGCCCTTTGACCTTTTCAATTTTTTTTTTGCATATTCTTATTTGAAATGTCAAATTTAACAAGCGTTGAAAATTTCATTGAGTTTTGTTCATAAATAAAGATTTTGTCATATATTACATATTTGTTTAATTTCTAAAACTATGATTTATATCAAAATTTTAATAGGATCGCAGATAGCTACAACAATTTAGTCCATATTTATCCCTTAATATCATTTTTTAGTTAGATATGGAAATTCTCGACCCATTACAAAAAATTTCAAGCCAATACTCAATTACATTCAGAAATATGTTCATTTAAACCTGTGTCCTTTAATTTCATCTTTTTCATATTTTAGTATTAAGTATGACAGCACATATTTAAATCTTATATTTACCTATTTTTCTATTTGTTATAATTGAAAGGTCCTATTATGCTTAAATTTTCAAAAATGTATAACTATTTTTTACCTAAATTTTTTCGACAGATCATTTCGTTCTGTTTCGTTTATGATCATGTAGGTAAAAATATACAGGTAATGATAATTTCGATTCATTCACTAATAAGAAATATCAATGACTGAATTACAGGTTATAGTAATATAGTCCTAAATGTTAATAGGTAGACAATTCGTAATTTTTTACTTTGGAATACCTGTATCGGAAATGACAAGAATTGGTATATAAGTAAACTTCTCAGATTTTAAGTACCATATTTAATAAATCTACAATGAAGATTACATTAAAGTACGAAGAGTTGTGTTCCGTTTTATGGAGTATATCTTCAAAAGGTCCAGAAAGAATTGAAGACATTTCAAATTATATAAAAACTACATATAGTAGAAAAGTAGACAAAACAGGCATATCAAA